TCCACTCCGTTTCCCGTTACTCCGCTACTCTTGCAAATACATGCACTATGAAGTGATGTGAAAACCAAATTTCAATGGCTTTCCCATTCTTCAACCCGCTCCACCCACCCTTCGCAACGGGACTTACTAACGTTAGACCTAAGCCTAACAGACTGCCTTCAGGTCACCCATAAGCTTCCTTTTTTTCTTTCAAAAGAAACTCAATTCTCAACTTACAATTAGGGCCAATTAGGCCTTAAAGGACGAATCCGTGGGCTTCGAGACATCTCGTTTAGGACGTGTAACGCTAGGTCAATCGCAGGCCTCTTCATACTTTCATGAACCATTTCAGAAAGGACGAGTAACGTTAGACCGATTGGAGGCCTGTTTCGCGTTTCATGAACCATTTCAGTGGGGCAGGGCCGGATTAGGAAGTTGCGAGGTCTGGGGCAAGTGGATTCTTGAGGTTACTCCCCCTCCCCCTGGTACTTACGCAAATATTTAACGCTTTTAATTTCCTTGGGGGGCCCTTCCAGAAGAGTGGGGTCCGGGGCAACAGCCCCCTCTACCCCCCCCCCCCCCCTTTAATCCGGCTCTGCATAATAAGTGCAGTTTGAACGTTCGAAACGTTAGTATCGAAATTCATGAACCTACATGGTAATTTTTTAGGGATACAATCGAAGCTGAAAGATGAATAGGGAATGTTACTGGAGAGGAAATGAGAAGAGTGAAAAAAACGCACCAGAAGATGCATCTACGTCAACTAAAAGCACTAAGGAATTCTGTTGTATACGTACAGAACGTATCTAACAAGTAAATTGCATTTCTTATGGTCGAGCCTATGGCTTTGAATGGCATGGCATTGTAAGCTCGACGCACAAAGAATATGACGCTACTACGTTTTAGGCCACTGGAAAGGTCATAAGTACATACTTTATATATCCTACTTACGACATCAGTTGCTATTGATATCTTTGGGTCGCTCTATCGATTCCGTTATACTTTCCATCGTGATCGAATCGCTACGGTGATGAATAGGTGAATGAGCATGAGGAGGAACGGGAATACCTGGGGCGAGTGGGGCTCTCCGAGGAGGAAACCGATCAAGTGGCACACTGCGAGGACCAGATACCCGACGACCATTCCCGCGACCAGGAACTGGGTGTCGACGCTCCCGATGAATGCATTCCGGTAGATTCCCAGCGCCACCACCAGGGTCAACTGCAGGGGAGAGAGTCGAGAGCGACGTTAACGGGATCGTGTGGATGGCGGAAGTTTCCATTCGCGAACGAACCATCTCGCGGAACGTTTCCATCTCGCGGAATTCTCCGGTCATCGACAGAGGTCACAGGGTCTTTCAACATCAGCACTCATCGAGAAAGGGGTGGAGTCACCATCTTTTTCCTATGAAGTGCTCTGCGTTTGTGTGCGCTGTCTCAAATCGCGAAATCATTTTTCAAAGGAGCTCGAAGTACGAGTTACGAAGCCCTCTCCCCTCGCGACCTCCCCGTTCGAAACTCTTACCTTCCCGAGCATTCGGTGCTAAGTTGGAGCAGATTTCGTACGCCAACTCGGTGATCGAAATCATCGCCGTCGTCGACGACGACGACGGCGGTAAAACAGTCAACAATTTTTTTTATCGGGCCATCGATGGCTTTTCGTCGACGCGTGCAGAAGTCCTATTTAAGCCAACATTGGCATATGGTTAGCTTACGGTTAGTTCAAGCCGGCTTATGGTCGGGCATACTCTGTTAGCCAACTTTGGCTCGTTGTCGGGAAGCCGCTCGTGCCCCAACCATGAGCCGACTTCTCACAATTGTAAAAAGTTTGAGGAGAAAACCCCACATAAACCGCAGCACCATGCATATTCTGGCCCTTTCTGTTCCTTCGCATCTGGAAGAGATGAAGCAGCAGTTCCTTCCACAGGTCCACTCCCATCACCAAAAGCTGCGAACATCCCAAATCTGATCCCCAAACCTGATCTCTTCCGGATGCTAAGGCATCTCGGAGCGGAATCGCATGGGAATGCGCTGGTTTCTGTCCTCCCGCAGGAGGCCAGGCCTAATAAGCTTTTCGATGTCTTCAAATGGAGGAAAATGGCGGCGTAGCTCATCGTGAAAAGTAGAAAGTTCCTCCCACGGAAGGCGTTTTCCCCCGAAAATAGAAACTCGCACGCGATCGGATGGCGAGAACCCAAGAAATGGGGGAATTTGCTGTCGACCGGGTGTCGAAAACTCCACGGTCGCGGCGGATGCGAGTGAGGACGCGGAAACGAACTATTGTCCAGTAAGTGGAACCGATCGGGAACGAAATGAATATAGGGGAAGTACATGCAGAGAAGTCACCAAGATATGAGAAAGGAAGCCTTGGAAGTGCTTCATGGGGATTTCCATTGGTAAACCACCCCCCCTCGGTCTGTTAGCGAATATGAAGGTAGTGGAGAATAGTGTTGCCGGGATTGTAAAGACTGGCGCTTGGAAGTTGAGCACCAGCGGTCCGGCCGGGTTTCGTCTCCTTGGAACATCCGTAAAAAAAAAAGACCACTGGAACCCCTTTAAACCGGTGGATATCGTTTGGGAAGCGTCCCTCGCCCGCGACGGCACGGAATGACGGACTCGATTCTGGTAAACCAGAGGTCCGGGACCCCCTGGGAACCGCACACGGTCTCGTCACCCCCTTCCAAACGGATCCGACGCTTCCCTTCCGGAAAGGTGAATCCCCTCGCTCGCGGCTTCGTCCTGACGCAAGGGGATGAGGGGGCCCGACGAACGCGATGCGGTCGCCTGCGAAAGCTCCGCGGGAAAAACTCTTCCACCGAGTTCTTCCACTCCTATTTTGCGACCTTCCGACGTTTTACTTTTTCTTCTTCCAGTTCGGCTTCTCTGTCGGCCTCAGTCGTTTCAATGCGTAGGATCGACTCAACACGTACGAAGAGCACGAGAACCTCGTTTGGGACGGGGAACGGAGTCGGAAACGAAAATGCGCCCTTCCAGGACGTTCCTCCGCATCGGCCTCGAATACTGCCGTCGAATACTGAAAAGACTGTCGTCGTCGCAATTCGCGACAGAGCGCACCGACCTCGGTTCGTCTTATCCCGGCCGACTGGAAGAAGCCGGATCGCTTCTGCTGTTCGCCGACGGAAGGGAACCTTTCTATTTCGAAGCGATCGCGAAGCTCGCGACGCCCCGTCGCCGTCGCGACCGAAATCGCGGAATCGGCCATCGATTACGGCTCCGTTCGTGTCTCCTGGGTCCGTGGATTCGACAGAGCTTTGCCTCGTTTCCGCATTGCAGGGTCTCGTTCCGGTAGAGGGATCCACCCGTAGCTTTGATTCCGTGGAAGAAACTTTCCGGGAGATCCCGATTCCGCCGCCCCACCGGGACATCCGAAGCTCTGTATCGACGACGAACGAAGCGAAAGAGACCGGCCGAAGAACCTGCGGAAGCGAGGATCCCCTTCCGGACGAGGACGAGGACGACCGACCTCCCCTGGTGGGACTTCCAGCCGACACCGAACACCCCGCGCGTGAAATAGGGGATTCACCCCGGGACTGACCGCGCCGATGGAGACTTTCTCAATGCACGAGACTGCGGGACGCGGCGTGGGAGTCCGGGTGCCACCTGCCTTCAAGCAGCCTCTTTCCCTTTCTCCGAGTCTCAGATTCCGATGCTTCTCGGGGGGTCTGGTGTCTCCCCCGCCGGGAGAAAAGGAACCTCGCTCGGGTCTCCCAGGACTCAGGATTTCGCCGAGTCGAAATCTTCGATCGATCGTTCGCGAACGAACGAACGAAACGAAAGAAAGAACCGAAGGGGAAAACGGGAAGTTCGGAGACTCGCAGTCGCGAGTCTTCGGCGCATCGAGAGAGAAGTCTCCTCAGTCGTCAGACATTTCACGAGATCGACATGGCGAAAGCGATAAGGGCCTTCGAAAGAACTCGGCCGCGCAAGCGCAACCCGCCCGATGGCGCAGAGATCCTCGCTGGTGAAAAATGCGCCTGCGTACCTTGCCACTCGAGGGTCTCGGCAGCGGTTCACCTCACCATTGAAAACGCTCGTGGAATCGGACGGAATGATCGCAACACGACCGACGAGAACCCCGGCCGCCCCCGATTCTTCAGTTTAACACATCCACGAAAAAAAAATCCTAATACAAGCTATTCGCTCCATTCTCTTTTTAATAAGAAATCATACGAAAAGCCCTTTTTTTCACGAATCGGGTCTGTATCGTGGGTCGATCCGACTCGGTTTCCCCCTTTTGTTCCTGTCGTAATTTAGTGATCGTCCCACGTTTCACGCCGGAAACCGTTAAGCCTTTCCATATCGCCGCTGCAATCGGGTTCCGTCAAACTCTAGTAATATTATCCCGGCGTGCTCGGTCCCATTCGGGAGCACGAGATTCAAAATGTCCTCGCCGATCGGGGTTTATGGTCCGGGGAACGTCAAGCGATCTTCCCTAAATCCTAAATGAAACCGGGAACGACGCTCGGAACCTCGAAAATAGGATTCCTTGGACTCACCGCTTGGAGGAACTTGAGAAGCGTATGGAGGTTAAAGAAATTCTCGCAACTGCAGCCTTTGAACATCGTGCTTCGCAACGTCTGTTATCGCCGTGCCGGTGCCGGTCAATTCGAACACAATGCACTCGATCCAGGAAACGGATCCGCACTCGAAACGCTTATCTGCGAGTTCATATCGGATAGATAAGAGGGTAGATGCCGTTGCCGGGGCATCGAATTCCTTCCACAAGAGTCACGGCCTTATCGTAGAATATGAGCTACGTGCGACATCGGTGACATGCGGGGAGAACGAGACTTCGCATCGGCCGGAAGGATCGACTTTTTTTTTCCTGCGGTTGTCCTTATCTCCTTTCCCCTAAGTGGAATCCTCGCATAGTCCATGTATCACTTTCTGAGGCCAAAGGCTCTTCCATTCTAACACGAAGGCCACAACACGATCGTGTTATGCTTCTTCGACTTTGGATTCGTTTGCCAAGTCGAGACTTTCCAGAAGAAATGGCAAGAATTATGTTCTCAGCAAATCGTTCATCACTCGGATGATTCCTTTCCCGCCGTGGAACGAGCGGGTCCGGTCCGACTCTCGGGTGATGGAATCTTTGATGGCACGCGAATCGGCCGACCCCTTGAGGGAAGCCAGACGCAGCCGAACGAAACGGAACCTCCTTCGTCTTCGCCTCATCGAGTGAAGCGCCGACTCGAACCAAGCCGCCTCCACGATCGATAGGAGCCTCCTTCGACTGCGTAACCTGCCTAAACAAATTAATTCAGAAATACAAGTGCCTTACTTGACGTTCTCTGTACGGAAAGATGAAGCACCGCATGGAAAGTTCTTAAGGGTCTTATAATGAACGAGTCACTCTCTGATACCTTTAAAATAGCGGCTATATAGGCGCCATCTCGCATCATTTGTAGGAACCTATATATTACAGAAAGTGATATAGACGTCTCATTGTGAGACATCTATGACGAATGAGAGATGTAGGCTGCCACTCTAGCGCCGATGCGGGTCCTACATGGGGAGTCCACTGTGACATGGTCTCATGCTCGCACCCAACTTGGGCCCAACGTTTTGTGCTGTCTGGGAAGACGCATTCGGTCGAGGAACGCAAGTAGGGAGTCCTCGTACATGACGGAAAATCTCATGGGAAGACGCGAAACGTTATTTTCTTTAACGGAAAACCAATTCCAATGATTTCCAAGACGATGAGAGCAAAAAATCCCATTGCCTAATATTCCGGATTCTTAAACGTCTAGCCAAAATGCCATTCGTAAATGTGGAACGTTCAGGAAGGAAGGACACGTCTCGACTGGTTTAGCGACTGTGGATTGCGGAGTCGATTGGACATTCGTTTGGTCGCTCGGTCGAGAGGAAACATGAATTACAGCAGATTCCACTCGCATGATTTCAAGTAATTCGCAAGTAAATACGTGAAATGGACGTAATCAGGGATCTGGGCAGAGGAAAGGAATGCGACACTCATCGAGTGTTATTGTCATTTCGTAAAGAGGGAATGAGCGACCCGACGGTCGTATCGTCGAAATGGTAATGACACCTTTATTTTTTCAGCTTCACATTTTTCGCATTTTTATGAGAAAGACACGACTTATCCGAAGCGATCGTCCTGGATTTTCTTGGAATGTCCTCGTCGAGAGTTGGAGCGGGGATACGAAAAGTACTTCTTCATATTCACGGGTCACTCATTTGGCCTTTTGGCATTTTCGGATCGTCTTCGGGAACTAATCTCGGCACGTTCTTTCCCTGCGATTCGCTTCGAGTCTGCACGATCCCTAAAAATCCGATGACGGAGGAACGTTCGGAAAGCGGCGGCAGCGTCACACGCGGGAAAATTGAGGCCCGCCGCAGTCTGGAGACGATGACGACGGCGTCCAGGAGAAAGAGGACGGCAGCGACGAACTGGGAGGCCGCACTCGCGCATCCCTTCCACTTCCGATCGTCTGCATACCCGTTCGCTTCCCCGAGGAGGACGCCGCCGGAGACGACCAGCAACGCGCCGCCGACGAGTTTCACCAACACTTCCTGTAGCGGAAACGACATCGCTTTAGCATCCCGCGTGGACTCCACGGAAACGTGCAACAACGGACTTCTCGGGATATCGCGATCCTTACGAAAAAGTTATTAGACACTCCTACTTTTGAATTTTGCAAAAGTTTGAGTGATATTTTATATTTGTCTTCGGTCCAAAAGTAATCACGAGGAAGACCTATGAAATCGTGACTATATTTACGGCGTCGACAAATGCATGGTAATTTTTGTCTTAACCTTTTCGTGCATGGTGTCCACTGCAGTGGACGGCAAAATATTTGGCGATAATTATGAGTTTTCGGTCATGGTACTCATACCTCAAAACTTTTGGTGCGCGCAGTCGACTCAAAGGCACATAATCTGCTCAGTGTTGCTTTCTAGCAGTAGAACATTCGTCTACTACGGCAGAGTACCTCCTTAAACGTTAAACCATAAATGGCATATTTTTGTCTTGCATTAAAAATTCATGCACGAAAGGGTTAATGATTTTGAAGTGAGGGATACATTCGGAGCCGGTAGACGAATAGGAAATGCTGTTGGAGGAGAGATGAGAAGAGTGAAAAAGGTGGCACGAGGCGGTGCTTCTACACCAACTCGTAGAAGCACCACGGAGTTCGTCAATATATGAACAGGATGTCTTATAACAGTGTAGCGGGAGTCTGGGGCGCAGTGGGACAACTTTTCCAAATCATCGAACAAATGTGTCTAGCACGAAACCTTTTGGGAATCAAACTTGCCCTTCCGTTAGGGGACATTCTCGACTACAAAAATGTGGAAAATCTAAAGGTGTGGCCTCTGGTGCAGCACAGAATACCACAAAATTGAAACCGGCCGGAATTTTCCGTCGTGTCTGCCAAGTTTCATCCTAAGCTCAGTGATTTTTTCTTCTTTTCCTTCATCCCATATTTCCTTCATTCACCCAAATGCGGCGAAAATATTTAAATAGTCTCTGTCGCTCTCTTTCAATTCCAGAAATAGAACTTTCGAAACCGATATGAAACCTGTTGATTATCAATGACTATTTTCCACCCTAGATGCACGATTGAAACCAAAAATTCGTACAGATGTAAGGGGCTATATGACGCCTTCTGTAACAGATTTACATGCATCTCTATCTATTTTGAGGCAATTAAAAGAACTGTGTCCCACTGTACTCCAGTGTCACCCGCTCAAGTTCTTACGGATTTGCCTATGACGTTCGTGGATCCCTCTGGGTCGAATCCCTGAATGAGTCGATTCCTGATTCCGCTGCCACGAAGCACGCCTGAGGGAAGTGTTTTTCATAATATGCCACCAGATGTATCTGTAATATTTTGATCCTCCCGTACCCCTCGGAGTGTTGCCTCTCGATAAACTCTATCTTTTATGCTTGAAGGATACATCACTCGAGGCTATTGGCACAGCCATAATGGCATTGGTATCTAAATAATAGATTCCAGTGCCACGTCACTGTGGTCCGTGGCATGCGCGCGCACGCAATGACACGCGTGCGCTCTGCGCGATCGCGTGTGCAGAAGGGGGAAGGGGGACCTTCTGCTTCCCTCTGGATTTACGTCTTCCTCTCTCAGCTCGCATTTTTTGTTTCCTGCCTTTGCGACTGTCGGTTCTATTCTAGAGAACGTAATAGCCGCCGGGGGGGGGGGCTATTACGCTATGAGCCCAACAAGTATGGCTTCCAATTGCAGCACGCATCCCTTTACTATTCCTACGGATGCGACATCTCCAGTTATTTCTTAGCTTATTGCCTCTCCCATAGCCATCGGAACAGGCACACGCAACGTGGCATGAGGCCATTAACCTCTGGAGACGGGTGCGGCGGGTTGCGATGTGAGTAGCGTGAGGCCGCCAATAAAAGCCCACATACCACATTGTCCTACGAGGCGATGATTTAAGGTAACGCTTTGATCCTTGGGTTACCCTTCGTCATTGTTCGGCGTCGGTTCCCCGTCTTTCGCAATGAGGATTAACGAAGCGCAGAAGCAGACCAATAAATTAGGGGTGCTTTTGCCGCGTCCTGTCTTCTAACATGGCCAGCCAGGGGGGGGGGGGAGGGTGGCCACCGTTTCCCATGGCCATGTGCGCATTCTGCGCCTTTAAGTACTTTTGCACCGGCTACCTACTACACAGAAAGAAATCAGTGTGTCAAATGCAAAAAGGTGGGTCCAGGATCGTTTGGGTGACACGGAATGTGTCATGAGTTTTGACCTATTGAAATGTCATTTGGCACATCTTACTGCATTTAAATGTGTCCATCCTCATGACACGTTATTCCGTGTCGCCAGGCCATAATCCAAACGTATCAATGGACACACACTGTAGTGTGTCATGGGACACAATTGCGCGGGTCCGTTGGGATATTCTCTCCTCCAGTGTTATTTGACACATCTTACTGCATCTGTAGACGCGTTGAAATGTGTCAACGCTTCTGACACATTTTATCACAACCGATACAAAAAGAATTCTCTCATGACACATATACCTGCGTCAAATGACACATTACATATATCGTGTCATTTCTCTCTGTGTAGTACTTTTAAAAGACACACTCAATTTGTCGTACGTACGAGGTATGTTACTGCCGATTCCATTGCGTCGCTCTAACGATTGCATAATACTTTGCATCGCGATCGAAACGTGACGGCGATGAATAGACGAAAGAGGCCGACGAGAAGCGGGAATACCTGAGGCGAGTGGGGCTCTCCGAGGAGGAAACCGATCAAGTGGCACACAGCGAGGACCAGATACCCGACGACCATTCCCGCGACCAGGAACTGGGTGTCGACGTCCCCGATGAATGCATTCCGGTAGTTTACCAGCGCCACCACCAGGGTCAACTGCACGGGAGAGAGAAGAACGACGTTAACGGGATCGTGTGGATGGAGGGAGTTTCCATCCGCGAACGAACCGCGCTCTCGCGGAATTCTCCGACGGAGGTCACAGGGTCTCTCAACATGAACAATCATTGAGAAGGGGGGGGGATCGAAGTCACGATCCTTTCCCTATGGAGTATGGAGTGCTCTGTGCGCTGCGCCAAGCGCCATATATTTTTTTAAGAAGCTCGAGGTACGACAGAATCTTCGACCCCTTTCCCATCGAGTTGCTTAACATTTTCTAGCGACATGATTTGAGTTAATTGTGAAGTCCTCTCCCCTCGCGACCTCCCTGCTCAAAGCCTTTCACTTTCGGAACCTTCAGTATGATATTGGAGCTGATTTCGTCCGCGAACTCGGCGATCAGAGTTAGGCGCTAAAACCTTGTATTTTTTATTATCAGGCCATAGATGGCTTTTCGTCGACGCGGATATGAACCTTAGTCGGGTCCTCATTAGCATATGGCTATTATACGGTTGGTTTAAGTCGGCTCCTGATCGGGCATGTCCTGTGGGGCCTTCATCGAAATCCAACTTTGGTTCACTATTGGGAAAAAGCATATGCCCCAACTATGAGTCGACTTTTCATAATGGTTAAAAAAGCACTTAAAATTGAGCGTTATGCATCACTTGGCCCCCTAGATCATCCAGAGTACCCGGTTACACTCCTATCACCGAGAGCTGATAATATCTCAAGCAACATCCCTTCTGATTGCTAAGGAACGAAATGACATGGGAAATACAGGTATCTGTCCTCCCGCAGGAAGCCAAGGCCCGCAGACCACGTACAGCAATATGACTTTTCAGTGTCCGTAAGGGGAGACGGAGACGGATGGTCGCGTAGCTTATCGTAGGAAGTAGAAGGATCCTCCCACCGACCACCGAGCCAGAATTTCCGGGTTTATTCCAGGGCTAGGAGTCGGAAACGAAAAGGCGTCTCTTCCAAGATGTTTCTCTGCATCGGCCTCGAAGACCCACGTCCGTGTCGCCCTTGCAAATTTGCGACAGAGCGTACCGACCTCGGTTCGTCTTTCCCGGCCGACCGCAAGGAGCCAGTTCGCTTCTGCCGCTCGTCGAGGAACGGGAACCTTTCCGTTCCGAGGCGACCGGTAAGCCCGCAACGCCACACCGCCGTCGCGAAAGCAATCGCGAAATCTGCCATCTATTACGGCTCCGTCCGTTCCTCCGGGGCCCGTGGATTTCATAGAGCTATGCCTCGTTTCCCTATTGCAGGTCTCGTTCCGATTACGGCAGAGGGATTCACCCATGCCCCCCCCCCCCCGAGCCTTTGATTCCGTGGAAGGAACTCTCCGGTGGATCCCGATTCCGCCGCCCTGTCAACTTGTCCAATGCTCGATATAAACGAAGAACGAAACGAAAGAGTCCTGACGAAGAACCCGCGAAAGCGAAGGATTCCCTTCCGGAAGGGGCAGCCCTTGGCTCCGGGAATTCACACGCTCCGACGGTGACGACCGACCCGACCTTCTCGGACGGGGACTTCCAGTCTGCACCGAACATCCCGGGCGTGAAATCGGGAATCGACCTCGGGGTGGACCGTATGGATGGAGACTTTCTAATTGCACGACAGTGCGGGAGGCGGCGTGGGAGTCCGGGTGCCACCGGCCTTCGAGCAGCCTCTCACCGTTCCTCCGCGTCTCAGACTCTGAAGCTTTTTGGAGGTCTGGGGTCTCCCCCGCCGGGGGAAATGGAATCCTGCGAGGGTCGTCTTCTGGCACTCGGGATTTTGCCGAGTCGAAATTCCCGATCGCGAAAGAACGCGGCGAAAAGAAAGAAGTTAAGGAAGAGAAGGAGCGGAAATTCTGAGCCGCGAGTCTGCCGCGCAACGAGGGAAAAGATAACTTTTTATTTCGCCAGATATTTCACAATGAAAGGATCTGGCGGATGTGATGAGGGCCTTTCGAGGGAACGAGCCGACCCAGGCGCGCCGATAGCACAAGTACTTGCACGGCTGGTGAACGCCGCGTCTGGACCGCTTTCCACTCTCGACGGCCGGGGCAGGAGCTCGCCTCAGCATTCAAAACGCTTGGAATTCGACCGCAGTGTTGCGATACGACCGCCGACAGTTCTCGGTCTCTCCAGATGCTTAGCATTAAAAGGACCAGAGCGATCAATTTGACCGCTGCATTAAAAGTAGTCTGAAACTATTATTCAGTAACATCTTATTTGCCCTTTCCACATGTTATTCGACATGTTCAAAGTGTTAAAACGTTCAAAATGTCAATATTAGATTAGAAAAGTAAAAAACTGCGGAGGCCCTCAGTTGCCAAACGAACAGAGTAAAGTGCATTAAAAATCGGGAAGCAGTCAAAATGATTTCCGTAGTACTTCTAGTGATAAAGCCTCCAGAATAAATATTCCTATTCCTATCCTAGTTTTCACTCTGTATGGTTTTCAATAACAAACTGAACGAGTAATGAGGTTATTTTCTTACGAATCGCGCCAGCATCTATCCGACTCGGTTTCCCTTTATTTTAGTATTGTAATTTAGTGATCGTCCCAAATCCCACGACGTAAAGTGAAGCCTTTCCGTATCGTCGCTGCAATCGGGCCCAGTCACACTCTAATAAGCGCGATCCCAACGTGCTCAATTCCGTCTGGGAGTCAAGAAATCCAAAATGGCCTCGCCGATATGCATTCACTGTTCAATGCCAAGCGATTTTCCCTAAATCCGAAAATAGACCCGGAACGACGTTCGGAACCTCGGCAATAAGATTCCTAGGACTCACCGCTTGGAGGAACTTCAGATGGGTATAGGAATCCCGTAAATTGTCACAGCTGCAGCCTTTGAACATCGTGCTCGACGAATTCTCTTATTGCCGTGTCGGTGCCAGCCCCCTAAAAAAACAGTACACCTTATCCAAGAAACTGATCCGCACTCGGAACATTTATCTACGAGTTTCTTTCGGATAGGCAAGAGGGCAGAGGGCAAATGCCCTTGTTGAGCGTCGAATTCCTTTCACAAGTGCCATGGCTTTATCGCAGAATATGAGCTGCATGCGACATATGTGACATACGGGTGGACGAGATTTCACATCGGCCGGAAGAATCAACTCCTTATTTTCCGTGGTTGTCCTTATCTCCTTGCCCTTTGTGAAACCTCGTGCAGTCGCGATCACTTTCTCAGGCTAAAGCCTCTTTGATTGTAACACGAAGGCTTCGGCACGAACGTATTATGATCGTTCGACGTTGGGTTCGTTTATCAAGCCGAGAATGTTTCCAGAACGAACGGCAATAATTATGTTTGAGGGACATTAAGGGTTCAGTGTCTAATTAGTTGCACCTGGAACTCTTTTGGCCACCAGGTTCGGCGCGATGTATCCCCACGATTATTGAACCATTGCTTGGTCTCGTCTTTGATGTACGATTTTCGTTTCTCGGCAATTGCAAGTAATTCGTGAAATCCCGACTTGGAATGGAACTGGCTCCGGTTGGGAGCTGCCATCACATCCAGCAGTAGTCGCAATAGATACGATGCGCTTTATATCGGATGGGGTCGATGGCACACAAAGTAACACAAGGATTCATATTTGTTGGTTGACTCGGTGTGACTCGGTTTTCCCCGCAACGCTACGACCGATGGAGAGCCCAGCTCGACAAAGGAGTGGAACGGGCTAAAATCAAGGAAACCTTGTTGAATTGAAACTATCAAGTCCGGCGAGAGACATTGCCCCAAGGGTTTACGAAGGGGCCCTTCTTCGAAACGATGAAGTGGAGGCCAGAGCTGAACATGCGCCACGGAGATGCAAGGCCACTCAACCCCCCCTCCCCCGCCCTTCCGGCTCTGCTATAATCGCATTTCGGTTTGCAGACTACTTTCATGCGACCCGACACGGTCGGGAAGAGACTTAAATGAACCACAATTCTATGATGATTCTTTTCCCCTCATGAATAAGAAATCAAAATGCGAAATTTGACCAAAGCCTATCATTTTTATGTACCTATTCTAGGTGTTTTGGCAGCGATAGAACTGCAATGTTCCCCACATAACTCGGTAGTAGTCATGACTTTATGTCGGTCTCGCCTGGTCTCAGTGGTTACGCCCTTCTGAAAAATGTTCTTGCGGTTATGATGGAAATTTATTTTCTTTAGGCTTAATGTTAAATGTATATCAGGGGCTGTGAACTCTCGATTAAGAAGTTCAAAATTGGCTAAAGGAAAAACAAACATGGGAATCTATAAAAATGAAATAAATTACTGGTGGAAGACCGATAAAGGAAGGAATAACGGTAAAATTTGGGCAGAAAAACAAAGGAAAAATATAAGAAATTGTCTATTTTTTTAAATCCTAGTTTTCCTGTCAAATTTTACTTGAGGTGAAACTTTTATTTTCAAATAAAAGAACTGTGATATGGAGAGAGGTAACACATTTGTTCTGAAAATGACTGCTTAACGGCATCCGCATTAATTACGGCCAGAGTTATTGTCAAACATCCAACTGATTTCAAAATGACTACCGTAAAGGGAAATACGCAAGAGCATACAAGAGCCGCTCCCTGCAACAACGACATTGAAGACAGCCAAATGTTTCGCAGCAGCGCTAGATCTATATGCATGACGGAAAGATTCCTAGTATGTAACCTAACCTGGAACCTTCCTGTTCCGCATCTGTTGGGACCATTCCTAGGGACCGTGTTGCCTTTTCTTAGAAGAGGTACATTATGGGTTAATATATCACCACAGCGAGGCACGATGTGTTGTTATTAGGTCTTTCGACTTTCCCTCCATCCTCTTCTCTTGGTACTCATGAACGTTATGCCTCGGCCTTGCCAACGGACTGTCTCTAGGTCAGGCCGAGCCCTTCCTTCCTTCTTTTAAAATAATCGCAACTCTCGACGTACGGAACCAAAGATTCCAAGGGTCAGTCTCGAGATGTTCGATGCAAGTGGGTTAGGACGCGTAAAGTAAGGCCGTTTGTAGGCCGATTCTGATTTTCACGTATCATTCCAGGCATGTAAAAAATAGTTGGTCCTATCTGGTGTTTCTCGAATCACCACGATATCTGTGGAAACTGCCACTGAAATTCAAACCGCGTGTTAGACGCCATCATCAGCAGGGATATGCATGGACGGCTTTTCCTTATCATATGACATAGATAGTGACCACCCGCTAACCAGCGTTTCAATCTAACCCCGTCTGATGGACTCAGCGAAGAAAGTATCGTTCGTGATATAAAAATTAGAAGGCGATACGATGGTAGGGGCATTTATGAATCCGGCATAACTGCACGATAACCGGCAACCATGGAGGGTGGATCTGGAGCCCACATGCTAAGCCGAAATGAATGACGGCTAATTTCAATTTTCATTATGGGATGGTGGATCGTAAACAAACAACCTTCGTGTTCTATCTCTATGACAATATCTGCTTACTTTCTTTTTCGGTGGGATATCTCCTGCGAACCCCCCTCCCCCCCCCCCCCGCCCCCCCCCCCCCCCCCCCCCGGCGCCCCCCCCCAGGGGGGGGGGGGGGGGGAAGACCCCCCCCCCCCCCCCCCGGCCCCCCCCCCCCCCCAGTTGGAACCTGCCAGACGGGGTGGGAGGAGGGGTAAAGTAAAAACCTGAATGAAATGTACATTTGGAATAACAGGGAATCAGTTCCTTTCAAACCTGGGGAAATGAAGTTTGTAATTTTCCTAAGGCGATTTTATGCTGAGAGGGTACGAAGCACGCTCGATTTCGTACCTCCAGATTCTCTCAGAGAGGAATACGAGGCGGTGGATTTCCGCAACGAGGAAGGATTGAACTACGGTAATAGGTTTGAAAGCGCCAGTGGATTCGCGTTCAAGGAAGCTCATTTTGCTGTCGTCCCTCAAGTCTTCAGAGACTAATCTCTTGAAACCGATAATTGCGAAATTAAGGCGATGGATACCATGACATCGGCTCCATGAAAAAGGCTGCCGTTCATGACGAGGTCTATCTGAGCGTTGCTGGAGGGGGTGGGCATAGACATCTGTTTGGCTTACTATACCTATTTAAAATCTATCTTACATAATTTTTTGCAATTCATTTTCGGCTCATTCTCCCTTGTTTTTAGAGACGAAAAGCGAATAGAGGCACATTGAGAAATCCATGTTCAACACGAATTTTCTGCCCGCAAGAGATAGGTTCGGTACGCTTTTTCATCATTTTTGGCATTCCTCTTCGTGTCTCGTTTGCGGAAGGCAAAACATTTCGAGAGCGAGATTCGTTTTCAGAAACTTAAAGCTATTTTTCCTGAAATATTGCGACTGAGAGAAATACATTCGAAGTACGACTTTTAAGTGATCTCTTCCCTTGTTTATTCGCGTTGGGTAAGCCTTTTTTATATTTCCACGAAATCCTCGTAACCATATGGACCTTTATTTACACCTTGAGGGAGACATCCCACACATTTCGATTCTGATCAAAATGGTGGAAGACCTCTATGGTAGAGGACCTACACTCGCCGCCGTAATCCCCACAATTATGCATAATGATGCTTGGGGAATCAGTTTGTATTCCCAAGTAGGAAGCCTATTCAATGATTTCTAAAGAGACAATCTCTCGATCTCATTTCGATCCAAGAATTCATTTATTTAAGGATGGCTAATTAGCTATTGACTTTGCTCTGGAATTCTTAGTATGGACATCATTTATCCTATTCAATAAATAAATAAATAAAATTCGGGGGTGGGGATTGGAAAAGAAGATCTCGCAGTTTTTTTAAGAGAAAGCATACTAGAAAAAAAAGGAAATTCGAATTTAATTGCAACAATTGATGATTATATGATACGTACGAGTAGCTGCTGACCTTAGATGAAGTTGAAGCCCAATCGGACTGAGTCCCAATTGAGTTCACTTTTGTCTTGTATTGCGGATTCCGCACAGAAGCAAGGAATCGATGAGAGAGAAAACGGTTATTTCTCAGGAAGTCTTTGCTTTCTTCTTCCGGAGAACTGTGACAGATTGCCACCCGTACTTGGAGATCCAATCCGAAGTAACTTTGTTAAAACTGCCGATCCACTAGCGGCGATATATGGGATGAGCGCTTGTGAACTAAGCATTATTCCAGAGGGTTAGCATCATGGTATATTAAGCAACATGTGCTCTTCAAACAACCAATGAAAAGAGGGATGATTACAATCTCTGACCTTCCTTCTTCATCCATTGCTTGAGGAATGAATGAGGTTTTGCCAAGTCGAGGAAGAAATGTCGAGACTCGCATGTCTCACTTGAAACAGGACTCACCGAAGTCAAGGCTACGATATTTTATGGAGGAGCGATACGTCGATGAGGTGGTCAGAGCAGAGCCGACAATTAACTATTCTGTTTTAAAAGTAAATTATAATTTGTCCAATTTATGCAGGATAACTACTCATTAGTGATCATTTTCTGAATATTGAGTTGAGATTTTTTCTTCTTCCCTGAAGTACGACATAACGACGAAAGCCTAGAACTAGAATGTACCACTATCTTGTATGCACTAAAAGGAAGAAACGGCAAAACAAGAATCGCAAAAATGCTGAAAGGCAATTTATGGAATTTCCCAATCTTCGTTTATCTGTAATCAAAAGGACAGATTCTGAACTCCAGCACACTTTCTGCTCTTTTTATTCTGAAATCTTTCCCCTATATTGCCACGCGCCTTTCCACAATACTATTGCAATAGAGGAAAGATAGTACCGTCTACCAGACTAATAGGCAACGTGATGACCTCGGATCCCTGCCATAGAAGTAGGGCTCACCTTGGACTGAATGCAATTTAAGTGAGGAAATGAACGCATCCATGTATTAATTGCACATTGAATGAATCCTGAAAAAGAAAGTTCAAAAGAAGCATTTTCTTGGAAATATGCAATTTACGTTCCTGATAAATTCACGTCTTTCATAGAACGCATAATTTAAACTGTTTTGATCGCTTTAAATCTTGGACATTTAAGCAGTCGCTTAAGCAGAACGTTGTGAAGGACGTTCATGAAACCCTGGCAATAACTTAAATGAAGTTTCTTCTTGAACACATTTTCTCCTTCACCTTTTGGAGTGACGCGACGAACTTCCATTGGTTCAATGTTGTTAATATCAAACTGACATTGTCGTCACTCAACCAGAAGTGAATTGACACAACAATGAAAATTACCTACAATCCAATATTTAAAAATCAAATTGGTAGGGGTAAGCGCTGAAAACGGATATATCAAATGAATTTTCGTATTTTCATGGATCGTCGAGCACCGGAGGCCTGGATATTGCGAGTTTGTTGCTTGTTTCCTGCCTGAAGGGCAAGCTAACTCGCTTGTTCAGTAAATTCTGTTTTCGTGTGCTCTATAGATGCAAATGGCAAACCAACAACATGAACTTCGATCCATAATGTAAATACTATTCATCAGTACATTTGAGCCCATCATCTACGATAAAGGTATTAAATATTATCCTCAAAACTGTATCGCATCATTCAGCTATTGTATCAAACAAATTGGTATATGAAATACGGACCTTTATTTAAGTGAAAAGCCATTCCAGTAGAAATGGAGACTCAAGCAACACAAATGAACTTTTGAGAACGTGAAAAACATGGATAGAGTTCACAATTGAGGAGCGTGTTGACATTTACTCAGCATTCTTCTCCATGGTCTCCTTGATCCAATCGATGAACCTGAATGAAATGGATAACAAAATGAGAGGATGGATTTATCATTGGTTTTCATTTATCATTATCGACATTTCTGTCAAAAAATATCAAAATGGATGAAGTCACTCCTCACTTATGGACAGTGATGAAGATGCCGAACTGGCCGTGGACCATCTCCGAGCATTTCTGTTTCTCCTTGGCATAAGTGTGACTTAATATTCCTTCTACTACCCAGGGACTAGTCTCCTGCTTGGTATCCGCTTGGAAGGTCATGGGACTCCCTGAATCCCCTATACACACCGTCTCATGTTCTAAAACAAAAGAATATCGCTATTCCTATATTCTGAACTTAATTCATCTACTTCGGAGAGGACGAACTTTAGTGCTAATGACAAACTTCATCATATCTGTTGCAAGAAACTTCTTCAAAAGTGTGTAAGGTAGAGGCACCAATTTGTGGACGGGCGCCTATTTGTGAAGAGTTTTGCGTTTTTTGCCATTTCGCAAAATTCAAGCAGAAAATGTATTTCCTCAAATGCTCCATGTGATGCACTTGCCTGTCAGCCACAATATAAATTATGCACACCTATCAGCATGAATGAACTTATACATTTTTGCTCAGTTTTAGACCTTGAACTCCTGAATTCCTTAATTTTTCCGATGATGTTTCTTAATAGGACATCATTGAAGATAAATATATTTGATATGCATGTCTCATTCCCTTATTTTTCTATTCAGACTACGCACGTTAATAATTGTTGACAAAACTCGTGTCCACAAACTATGTCCATGGATGTACACAAACTGAAACCAGGCCATCCACAAATAGGAACCACTTGAAAATCAGCACACATTCATTTAAGCAGCGATTAGTGGAAAAGTATACTTTTAATGTTTTATTTTAGGGTATGGGCATCAAACTATGATAAGTGGCCTCCCATTGAAACCAATCAACCGGTTTCTCGGTTATCCCAACGACCGTCACGCAATTTTTAAGGAGAAAATTTCCTTAACCTGTCCACAAACTGTTGGCTTTACCGAATTTTACATTGAGAAATAGTTTTACAATTGCCTATCCCGCACCATACACTTCTTCTCTGAGATCTCTTGCGCGGTAAGGCAGATAAAGTCATCCTACTATCCTCTCATATTGGAACGATAAAGAACTTACTCTCGGTGCCTCGACAATGTAATAGTCGAGGATCTTACCTCTGGAGGGTTCGGGGTATGGTTGATGACCCGCACAGAACAGTTTATCGGTGAGCTCGGGAATTTTTCCTGCGACTTTTCCAACTTGATTTTCACAACTAGGTCTAGCGTGGACTGAAAGTAGTACCTCTCTCAAGAATTCAGATGGGAAATTAGAGGCGTCTTCGCCCCAACCTGCCAACTACAATCAAACCAATGAAGATCGACAAGTGAGACAAGAAAACTAAGAAATGCATCACTCTGGCTGACCCATCCTTTCACACCATGAAGTAGATTGCTCCGAGACTGGTATTCTTTAGTGGGAAGGCAGACCACCTGAACTCCATTCGTCAATTTGACGGATTGGTTCAGTTTCAACAGTGCGAGGTCTGAACGGAACTTGAAACGCTTGTTCTCCATGTTCGGGATGATCTTAGCCACCTGGAAACGTATCCCATGTTTGTCCTTCAATTGGGATCAGAGATGAAGAAAACGATGAGTTATTGGATGTTTCACCTTCCTGATTTGCACGAATCCATCGTCCTTGGAGTCATTTCGATAGTGCTTGCCTAAATAGACTAAGTAGTCGTCCTTGTCTCTGACTTGAAAGGGATTGTAGTCCACGACGCAATGTGCCGCTGTAAGGACCCATCGTTCTCCAATTAGAGCCCCTCCACAAATAATGTCCTTAACGAATTCATGGTTGTCGTAGATGGCCACCATCCATGGCCACTCCCCAATAGGTGCTTCCCTCCCACGGGCAGTGTGAACCGGGCGCCAACCCCCTGTATCAACTTGCATTTTCATCCCACATTCTATATCAGCCACGTAAAGAACCCGAAGTGAAATCCCATAGTAAATATACAACATCGACCAAAGAAAGAGGAAGGAAACGGACCAGGCTCGCAGAATGGAGCAGGTCCTGTCCATTCTTCATTCTCTCCACAAGTTCGAAAGCGTGGACCCCTGAGAACGTAATACCTGGCACAGAAATATTTAACTACGCTTCCTGTACGATATTTCCCACCTCGAAAGCATTCCGTTTTGTTTCCAGTCTCATCTTCTCTATGTAGTCTGCAAGAGAAGACACAAAATCGCACTTGCAGACTATCGCAAACCTACATGACCTCATAGAGTAGGGTGATTGCGGGCACTTCTGGGTTTTTATACTTCTGGATATGTTAGTATTATTTTAAGTAAAGAAAACATTAGTTAATTATTATTGCATTAAAATTGTTAGTGCTTCTCTGCATATTTACTTTTCATGTGAACTGGATATGCGACAGACGTACGTCTTTGACACCATACATTAACATATGTTAATTGGTCTCCTTAATGTTTCCTTTATGCCTCTAACATTAGGCTCCCCGGCTGATTTTTTTATCTCTCCCCCTCTACTCTGTCTGAATAAGATTTCCTTAGCGGGAAAGCTCATCCCTGCTAATTCCTTCCGTAAAGGAAGCTTTCCCTTCATTCTACATGGGCTCGGAATCACTTTCGTTTGGTATAAATGCAGAAGGCCAAGACCAGGGGTGCCCAAAGTGGATGTTCTCTAAGACACTTTGTGTGCTGATTGCGGCCCGCGGGCCGCACTTTGGGCACCGCTGGCCTAGACCATGCTTATTTCATTCCTAATGCATGCGAAGACGAAGCATATTGACCATCTCGTGGCCTCGACCGAACTCGAAAGGGATTATTTCCCTATTTCGAACATATTCAAATACTCTTCTCATTGCCTAATTCATTCATTTCATTGCGGGTCTTCTCTAATATAAATTATTATCACATGAACTGAGGGACATTGGACCTGTCCCTTGGGAACTGTTACCTGAACCTTTCAGGTTTCCTGAAATTCTGAAAATCCAATATTTTGGAGGGAAGTGAAAGTAGTTAAGAACTATGTATTGGCCACTGCAAATGACAGTTTCAATCTCAGTTCATTTTCTAAATTCAGCACAAAAGCGTTCCCTACATTAAAAGCAGAAGATATTGATACGAAGTCAACCCTTACGAAAAAATCCTGCAGCAATCCTATAGGATCCTACGAGACTCTTACAGGATTCCTATAGGAATCCTATAGGAATCTCATACGATTTTTATGTTGCCTAAAATCGTATAGGAACCTACTGGCTAGATTCATGACTGATTTCCCATAGGGAAAGCAGCCATGAATCTAACATAACTCTGGCGTGATAATCGGCAACACGGGACGGGACTGAAGTTATCACCCTAACCTAAATGAACGACATCTAATGTAATTATTCATGACGAAATTGCATGAGTAGCCTCTACTGCAACAGGCCCAAGGCGACGCTACACCCCTGCAACAGGACGCAAGACCCTGGAATCTTCCATGGGATCAGGGTCTGCTTGATGGACCCTATGCAGAATGGGATACACGCGGATCCCTCATTCCTGCGGAAGCAAAACATTCTCAAGCGAAGACCCAACAACAGGGAGAAGGAGGAGCGACGAGAATGGGTCCTGGAAGGCAGCGGGTGCAGTGCTGGGTGGGATGAGAGTGAGCGGAGGAAGCGGGGGACACTACGTGTAAACTGTATAGGGATCTAACAATAGGTTTTTATCCCTTTGGTATTCTCTGCTCTTTTCCTTGTGAGGTGTATTGTGTGTGTGAATTGCAATTGATCGGCCTATCGGGATTGTTAATTAGTAAAACTTTTTTTTTAAGTCACACGGGGTTTACTTGCTGAGTTTACCGTGCCGAACCCTCGACTCAAAACAATCCTCACCACGTACTAATAACATATATTCCCCCACACAACAAAATCGTACTACACTAACAGGAAAAGGCACTCTTTTTCATATACAAGTCAATTATCTTTCTCATCGTCTCTTTTTTCCAAAAATCCCTAAGGAGTGGCAACCCAGGGTGGGATAAAAAAAATGTCTATCATAGGTCTATTCAAGGCCATTGTTCTCCACAGCCCTGGGGAGATGGAGCTTTGAATTTCTGGAAAGATTCTGTGTTGAGAGAAGACGAAATATGCCCCACTTCGTTCATACGAATGTCCTCAGAGAGGAACACAAGGTGTATGAATTTCGTTACAGAAAGGGGTTGAAGAAAGATAATTTGCGCCGTACCTATGGATAGTCTTTCCAATGTTGACTGCATCCAGGCTGGTGGGGAAGGGTTTCATGTGGGACAGTGGAAAAATGGTGGATGGGAGAGAGTGGGAGGGTCCACCCTTTCAGAAAAAGGTGGGATTAAAAAAGGTAGGATTCCCACAACTATCCAAGTCAACACTGTATAATGGGTGTGGGATTTTGGAAGGGCTGTGAAGTCTCTAGCATTTAAACGCAGCAACCAATGCCGCATGTATTTCCCGATGTCCAGGAACCGAGTAATCAGGCACCATAAAGTTGCACTGAGGTCTCTTCCCATACCTAAAAACCTGTTTTGCATTCACTCATCCGGACATTTTGTTCAATCAGATATGGTCTGAACCGACATAGATTGCGATCTATCCTTCTTCCTCCTAATGAAGTCGTGAGAGCTGAGAAAAATAATCATACCCGTGCTCATCATCAGAGCAACAAAGAATGATGAAGTGTCCATTCACGATTCCCTGAAGTGGTCCGCAGCCAGTCGCCTCCTTCTACACGCGAAATCGAAATCCCCTTTCGGTTTAAGATACGATTCCAAACGAAAGAGTTGACTAACGCAGGTGAATATAGGTCTAGACTTACACATCCTTCACAAGATGAGGCTGGTGAAGAAGTGCTGACAGAGTGAATGTCACTCCCAGAAATACATTCGTTGAGGCAGGGTTGTAAGGATTTGTGGATGTTAGACATTCTCTGGACCAAGCAGCACACTCGATTTTGAGGGCACGACGTTTTCAAGACCGTACTTCCAGGTTCACACAAGTCTTCGACAGAGGTAGAAATACAGGAATGTGTGGATGGACATGGCTGATCTTGGATTCGACAACAGACTTGAGTCTTCAGAGAACAATTGACGGATAAGTTGATACTAGCTGGGTCACATAGCTTACTGGATTCCAGATCTGTGCAGTTCCAACCGAATGGACAGGATGGAGTGTATTCAACTTTCGCTATAGGCATCTTAGAGGTCGTTTGGATTCTTAACTGACAGCACATTTCATCAGACTGACAAATGCTCGCCTTTAACGGAACGACTGTCCCAGGTGTGCAGAGGGATTCGTTTCTAATGCTGACACAAGTGTAAGGACATCGAGGACATTGCTCTAAGGAATTCACCAGGTCCAAGTCTTTCAAGTCAGTTCCGTTCTCGCATGTTCCCTCGACTTTGCTCAGTAACACAGGAGCAAATGCCAGCCACGCCAAATTGCAATCACATTTGATGGGATTGTCTGGAATAAATACAGAGAAACGATTGTAGTAGGAGGAAGATTGACAAGGAACAGGTTTTAAGGAGTTACTTAATTGGGAGGGAAACTGTGACACCCACATTGTATATCGAGGAGCCCAAGTCCTGAGGATATCTTCTCCAAGATGGGTCTAAAGATTCTTTCGTCTATCGTACTAATGTTGTTCCAAGAGAGGTCAACGTTTGTGTCAGTCCTGAGACCTGGAATGAAATCGGGAAAAGAAAAGTGACTATTTGAAGCATTCATAGCTTTTTTATCATTGCAGTGTGCCTCTTTAAGATATAGGAGAAACTTAATTTGAACATTAATCCTTCTAGTTGCATATTCGTGTTCTTGACGAAAACTCTTGCAATAAGGCTAATGTAATGCTTCGATAATATTATGATATTGAAGTATCTCACCCGTAGAATCAGGTTAGTAAATTTCCCATAAATATGTAGCTATTGATGAAAATCTTTAAGCAGACTTTCATCAATTTACATCTTAGTAAAAGTTAGTAGAAGTCCTAGTAGAATTAGATTAGTTCTGATTAATGAAATTTTAAAAATTCCTCATGTTGTATCCTTGTCAGCTCTGTCATTAACGAATTCGCCAATGGATGAAAAAGAGTTCATGTATTGAGGCTCAGAACTTCTGTGAGTATGGCCATGGAAGCAATTCGTGTGTGGGAGGTATAACCGCTCCCTCATCATCATCAATTCTGAGAAAGAAGCATACCTGTGATTGCTTCTGGTTCCAGTTTCGAGATGTCGGCGTCCTGAAGGGACACCATCTTCAAGGAATTGCTCTGAAATTTCAGGAGCCCGCCTGAAAGGGTGGGTCCGAAATTGCAGAACGAACAAGAGAATTCTTCCAGTTTCTCGAGGCTAGTTATCACCGAAGAAGGGAACTTCAGCAGAGGATTGCGACCTGGACGAAAAGAGTTATACAAGAAGAAAAAGCAACTCTTCCAGATTCAAATACTTGAAATGAAAGGGAAAATGTACTTTTTTATTGTACTTTTCACTATGATATTCATGTGTACAAGTTCAGAGGGAACGGTGTCTCAAAAAAGGGGTCACTTTTTCAATAAATAATTTCATATTTTAATGTTTACATTTCTGCTCGTTCCTACTGAGATTTCATGTAGTGAAAAACGCTCTCCGTGTTTCAACGTCTGACATTTCGAGTGAAAAAATAAGATTTTGATTATATGAAATACATTTCATAACGTACTTCAAATGTAATAAGATTTCAAGGTTTAAAAATAGAATATCTCAGTGAGGAAGAGCTCTGCTCTACGCTTATCGCACAGAACTTCCCTTCGACGTATTCCAACATGGCTTTATATAGAAGGTAGGCAATTTCAAATATTACTTAGGAATTTGATAAATTGCAACAATGTGCTACTACGATTACTTAGCATTTCTTAACATCCAGTCTCTGAGAGAACTACAGTAAACCAGATAAATGACTACCAACCAAAAAATTCAGCGTTCCATGGGTTTGAATGTACCACATTTAGAAAAATTTCCCGCTTCTCAAAATGGTACTAGAACACCTGGATTCCTACCAATACATTTAGAAGCAAAGTTATGGGTGGATTTAAGGAGGAAAACATCTCACATTAGTGTTGCGATGGTCATTCATCAACTACCATGCTTTCCCAGACAACAGAAAAGAGGAGCTAATGAAAGCTAATTCCATATAGTACGCAGGGATGTCAGGAGGTGCTGTAATTTGCTTAAGTAAATACCACATTTGGGTAAGGCAGTTCTTTTTCGAAAAAAATTGAATTTATGCAAAATTTATAGGAAGTGTTGTCTAGCGGAACTGATGCGAAATATTTGTAGAAAGAAAAATAAAATATGCGAAGAGCGAGCAAAACTAAATGGGGGAGATGTCACCAATACACAATTTTTCCGGAATTTTTCCATATAGTCGCATTCAAGAAAAATCGCCGAATATTTGTTGGTCTCTAAGAGACTTAGTGTTGAAGGAATGCAGTACATTTTGCTAACGTCGTGTGAAACGCGAGTTTCATTTATTTACGCATCCAAAATGAATGGAAACCACATATCGAACCCAGTCTCTGAAAAAAAACTAGAGGTATTCATGTGAGTTTTGTTAAACATGGCAATATGAAAGAAAAATCTGGAAAAATTGCATTACAGGTGATACCTACTTACTGTATGCTTCGTAGACCGCGATCTACTGATGTTTCCTATATTTTCTGTGGTATCAGTTCCACTGGGCAACAATTCTTTTATAGGGTTTTCCGAAACCCTATAAAAGACTCATCCACACAAAATGCGGGTAAATGCTATGCTAGCTGCAATAATAAAAAATCCTGCCCATTTTCATGAAGATCCGGTCGAACTGCCCATCCCAAGACATGACTGTTCCGATCCAGAGAGAGCCCATACTACATGGCTGGCTTCACCTTTCAGCCTCATCGAAGAGGCCGGGATTCAGGTCTAGAAGAACTTGACTAAGGAATTGTCCTGACCTCAACACCCCGAACTCCTGAGACCCAAGCTCTTGCAGCGTTCCGGCTCACACACAGTAGTTTTTTGCGAGACAGGGAGTTAATAATAATTCCGGTAGATCTCCCAGCGTTAAAGGACGTTATGAAGGCTTTATATTCTCCAACTGCATTATTTCCTTACCGAAAACCTTGTTGGTATTGTTCGCTCCCTTCAGAACGGGAGCTGAACGATGCGTCCAAACGAAATACAGGAAATTACTTCTAATTCTCTTGAGACAGGGTTTCACTTTGAAATTTGGGGTGAATATGAGGCCTTAAAATTTATTTCGATTAAACGGTGAATCCGGAATACTTTACATAGCCGTCCAATCACGAGAGGCACTCTGCTACTCTGTTTCTCCGTGATTCCCGTCCTACCAACTAATTCTCTCATGGGAAGAGAAGGGAAATATTGCAATTTCTTCCCCCTGATTTCTCTCATCAATCATGCATTTAATAAGGGAAACGCCCAAAACCGGACAGCTTCTACTCCTCATTCGCAGCCGTAAATGAAATCGAAACGGTGGTAGGAGCAAAGTAAACAACGAGTAAACCGACTTCAAGGCAAGTTTCAAACATTCCACTTCACTCGGACTCTTTATTCCTGAGTGTAAAACGTTGGAGCCCTCTTAAGACTTGCTTATGAACATGTATATGTTTCTCCTGGATGGGCATTCCGTACCGACGTGGAGATCCTCCTCACCTTTTTTCTGACACGGGTATAGGACCTTTTGCTTTGAATATTTAACTCTTGAATGCATGGTCAAAGTCTTTCTTGGGTTCTTTAATGATCCATGTGTCAAAATTGACCAACGGAGCTCAACCTATGGCTAAGTGAAGCATGTTGAAATAAAATAATTCCAGGAAAAGACAGAATGGCAAGAAACACTTTTTTGGCGAATTATCCTAAATTACACCAAATCTAAATAGTAAGAATTGTACTCACGAATGTCCCGTTTGTTACCGTTGGGAGCCAGCCATCCGGCTTCATCTGCTTTCATAGTCTTATTGCTTTTGAAGTTAAGCCTCCCCAGGTTATTGCTCTCCAAATCTGCATTCGGGGTCATCCAATAATTGTGGAGGTAGAGTTTCTTCAAGTTGGGAGTTGCCCATCCATTTTCATCCACTCTAGTAACCTTATTGAACGATATGGAGAGTATTTCAAGCCTGTCTATTTGGAGTGCTGAGAGAGAGACCAAGGGATTAGACATGAGGTAGAGTTTTCTCAAGTTGAGTGTTGCCCATTCCTTTCCATCCACTCTTCCAATCCGATTGGATGATAAAGAGAGTACCAGGAGGCTGTCAATCTTGAGGGCTGGGACCGAGGTCAATAAATTGGAGGAGAGGTCGAGGTTCTTCAAATTGGGAGTTGCCCATCCGTTTACATCCACTCTCGAAATCTTATTGAATGAGAGGGAGAGTGTCTCGATGCTGCCTCCCTTGAAAGCTGGGACTGATGTCAATGAATTGGACTGGAGATAGACTTCCCTCAAGTTGAGAGTGATCCATCCGTTGTCCTCTACGCTCGTAATATTATTGGACGAAAGATCGAGTATCTCGAGGCTGTTGATATTAAGGACTGGGACAGAGGCCAATGAATTGAAGGACAGATAGAGATTCTTTAGATTGGGAGTCACCCATCCTATTTCCACCACTCGCGTAATCTTATTGTGTTTGAGGTTGAGTGTCTCGATGCTGCCGCTCTGGAGAGCCGGAACTGTTTCGATGTTATTTTCATCTAAATTGAGTACATTCAAGTGGTGCAATATTGAAAGATATTCAAAGGGAAACTCTCTCAGACGACTGTTTTTAATGGTGAGATTCATAAGCCGTTCTGAGGAAGGGAACATGGGTGCCAGACTGATGTTCGTCAATGAGGTTTTCCATAAAAATATCGACTGGAAAGAAAGACCTCCGAAGAATCTCCCGGTGAGCTGCACAACCCAATTATTGGATGTCATGAAGAATTGCCTGAAATGAGAAAGAAGACAAACTAATCAGTTCTCAAAGTTGTGTCGAAGAGCAATTAATTGTGCTTGATGCATATAAGAATGCGAATGGGTCAGGAGGTGGAAACGCATTCTATATTTTCTTTGAATATCCACGAAAAAAGTTTTTGAAAGCTGTCACACCTCATCAGGCGCACAACGGGGTGGTACAACGCTTTATCCTGCTTTGTTAGTCCGACGGTTCTTCAGCTTAAAGATTTCATCTTTTCATTGTTGTATCATTCTTCTTCAATTTTCACTTCATGGAATATTCCATTTAAAGGCTATGAAGGTTCCAAAGAATTTGTTCTGGTTTATTTTCCACCCATGAGCTACTTGGTTCTATACTTCAATATTTCAGAATCTTGTCTGATGAGTTAGGATATTCGGGTTTTTAATGACTACGTATTTTTTCATTACTACTTCATGAATTCGAAGAAGAAGGAGTTGAAAAGAAATTATCTGCAATTTTAGAATTTTTTCTCGTAAAAACGTTCCTCATCGCCTGTGACTTTTTGTCAATAGCGATTCATATTTTGGTCTTGTACTACTACTACTATACTATTAACTATTTAAAGTACTGTAAGCTAAACAGTGATCCGATGAATTGAGCGGCAATTTCTTTCATATTATATAAATTGAAAGACTGTATAAATGTCCACGAGGTAATTTAATAGTATCCTTTTATCAATTGCCGTCTGTGCGAAAACCAGTTGAAATTCATTGAGAATACCCGGATATTCTAGCCTTTAAATATTTAAGTTCAGAAAATACTATACATACGCAGTCAGTGAATTTGAAAAAAAGGAATCGCTTCAATCCCACTCGATCATCGCCATTAAAAATAAATATCACAATATGTACTAGTCGAAAAGTCCAAAATATTTCGTTTTGTGAAAATTTTCATCTGAGGAGACAGAATGCTATTTTGGCCGGATTTCCTTATATGCTTCCACTCAGGATTCTATGAAGAACTTGTACTAGTTTACAAAAACAAGGAAGTTGCACGTGAATGAGTGGCACAAAAACTTTAAGCTCCTCAGCGTTTACCCCGAGACAGTCTCCGAGGCAGGTAAACGACCAACGACTTCTAAGTTTTATTAACGCAGCTATTTTTGCGAAAGTTTTACTATTTAATCAGGAGTATCTTTCCAACTTATCCTTGATGTTTCATCAGACTTTGTCGAGCTGAAGCAACCCCCAGAAGTTATTGAAAACAAGTTGTACATTGAGAATGGACCAGAGCCACTGTTGGTGGGAGCAGGGAATGTGACGACGTGAGTTCTCACCAAAGTTGAGTGGAGGGCCATTTCGCGTTCCTCAAGGCAGATGAAATATCCGAATCTTTCCTGGCATTCGAGCAATCCACTCTCACGCGACCATTCCAATCTTCCCAACGATTCATAAAATCGCGTTCGTGCTCGGTGAGGCAAGAGCAGGGCTTTATGCTTTCAGTGGGACAAGCCTCCTTGGTTTCTCCAGATGCCAAAGATAGAAGAATAAGGAAGGGAAACGCATCTCCTGGGGTCATCATGGAATTCGGTGGAGGAAGGGAACTGGGTGGTTCAAGGAAAGGTTTGTGTTCTATTCCCCGAGAACTTCGCTTTAGAGGACCTCAATTTGGGATTGCCGAATGATTCTCAATGGACCTGTTCGAATAGAATGAACTTGTGTGACAATTGGTGATTCACATTGAATGAATTTCGTAATGTGTGCACGTCATATGATCCCAGAAATATATCATTCCTTTAAGATCACAGTGAAAGAAAATCTCATACACACTGATGACTCGGAAAATCCCACCTCTTCGTGAAAGAACGGCTACGTTAGGCACGTGAAGAAAAAGTAACATTTGGACTGCATATTTGCATCAGACTCAGGGATGGTGGCATTTCGGACTTCGGTTCCTTGCAAAACTTTCCCGCCTTCTATCAAGTGGATTTGAACCTGGTGACTATTTCTCTACGCGGAAATCCACCCGCTGAAGGAATGTCCTCCAGGCTTCAAATTTATTGTAGAGATGTCGGGAAATGCATTTGTTTTCAAATCCGTCTCCTATCTTTCTTTCATCCACTTGCTGTTCAGCTTCGGTGGATGCAGATGGGCACTTTGTAAGGAGCATTGTAAGGCAAATCCCCGTATCCCAAGGAAACATCTAAAGCGAAAGTTCAAGCAATTTCGAAAATCACTGGATGAAATCTGCTCCAGGACTCCAAGATGATTCAGGGTAATCCTTTATTTCACGTTCAAGAACGTATATTCAACCCTTTTCTCATGCGAGACATTTTACAGACTGTGTGACTGTATGAGTAGTGTCCCATTTCAGAGCGACATAGTGCCTTCACAATGACGTGTATGATGTTGTTATGACTGAAACATGACGAGGGAAATTAATCAATCAAGTCTAGCTCTTACAAAATGTTGCCACCAACACACCACTATTGCATAAGATGTATTTGAGTCATGGTAAATGTTCAATGTGTACACTGGCAATATCCAACATCCATTTCCTCTGCGTATTTCTGGACATTACCGCAGGCAGCCGATCAGCAGCCGATATACAGGCAATTTCTTTGATGATAGCTCGCAATGGTAAGGTACGTATGACGCACAGGTTACTCCAGTAGACGCGTGAATTTAGGAAAGTTCAAGACCGAGAAACTGCCGGTTTCACGTCCGGAGGAGGAACCCCTGCACAAAGAGAGTATTGGGAGGTGACCCAAGCTTCCCTTCTCCAAACTGATTCATATATCGGTCCTTTAAAGTGGCTTCTGGTTTCTCTCTACTCCCATCAGCTTATTATGGCAAACTTGTCTGTGATTTTCCTCTGGTGGTGTGGTACTGTAATCCTCAAGCTATTGATTTCGAGCATTAAAAAAGTACATTGCTAATTTGAATGCTAATATAAGAAAAATAGGAATAAATATGTGGTGTTGAGATACCGATCAACTCTGACTTTCGCTCGATGTCATACATTCTGTGGCATGACCTTGACGTTCGTGAGCACGTTATGACTCAATTACAACAGCGTCCAAACAGTTCCTGTGCAATGTCTTCCGGGGCTATTTCCTTGGAAATAGCAATAGGCTCCTGTAGTGTTCTGACGATAAGTGCAAACGCAATTAAGGAGACTTATTTGAAAACAGTTGATGTGAGATTCATAACGACGAGGGAGGTTTAGGATACAAAATGTTTGAATTTCCATCTTTTTGTATGAATGTGAAAAGTTTCACTCTCACAAGTCCTCTGCATTTAAACTCTGATACTGAGAGATATTACACTTATTTCTGGATATGCCTGAATAGCTGCATATACAGTAGTTACCACTCTGGCGACAGAATTATCAGAGATTTAAGCAATTAACTTCATGCGCAGAAAGTCCCAAGAGCAAGAAGAGAAAAAGTCGCTACTTCAAGCTAAGACGCTGAGTGAAAACAGTGCATCTACGCCCATATGCTTGACCTCGGCTGTCAAGCTGCTTTTGCGTTGCATGTTGACGCATGCCAGGATTGAGATCATACAATGTGACCTGGAACCCTTGGATCCGCCTTATTCATTCACAGCTAGAGTTATGGGCTATTTCCGAACGGGATCACACGTCGTGACCTTTTCGTATTGTTCAAAAGCAGATTAATAAACACCCTAAAAAAAGTCGGGAAACTCCAACTAAAGTATTGAAAAGTACCTTCTGATGCTCAGAAAAGGGAATTCCCATTTTGAGCAGAGTCCATGCTTTTCATTTTCTCATGTAGAAATACTCTTAGTGTCAGAATCGGCTTTTTTGGTAAACCCAACCGGTTTGTTTGCGGGGGAGATTTCTGACTAGAGCGCATAGTTCTGAGAAAAAAAATTGCATGGGAATTTCTGCCCATTCATTTAGTTGAAAATTTTTTGAATGAAAAGTGGTGAGAGCAGAGAACGTTCCCTTATAAAATTTATATTCCATGAATCTAACGGTACAGAAATAGGTTTCTCGGTCCATTTTTAAAGAAAAAACGTTGCCAATCGACTTCAATCGTCTATTGCTGGGTTGAAACAATCGAGAGGCAGGTCTTTTGGGCATTTTCATGAGGTGGGATCTCAGTCCTTTAATATAGCGACGATGGAAAATATAATGAATCAAACTGGACTAGATGAATGGGAAATATACTTCTAAAATTCCACACGCGTCGTAAATAGAGACCGTCCCGGGCACCACTTCAAGCTACTCCACTTAATTTGATGTGCTTCATCGATTTGTCTCGGGAAATTAATCCATACATCTCGTTAAGCCTTACTTCCTTAAGGAATCTACTTCCAGCATTAAATCATTATTTATTTCATTCACTCTGTTATGACAATCCTTTCCAAGCTGGTTCTCCTATTCACACCATTATATATTCCTATCCCGTCCGCGTGGAACCAACGTCTCGAATGACACATTTTACACAAATTTTCGAAAAACAACATCTACGCGCATTGGATGCGACACCAGGTGACCCATGAGTTCCCGACTTAACACGATTACGGATGAAACTATACGGAAGGCATCTTCAGTACAAGAGGCATATATACTCGGTGTCACATATGCATGTCATTTCCTGAAAATTTCCTGAAAAAGGACGAATTCTGCTGAAATGTCCGCGGTATCACCTACTCGTGTTGTGTCGCACCAGAAACATCCTTTCGTTATCATACATCATTTTCCCCCTGTAGGCTTCTGAATTTAGGAACTTTTAGGCCACCAGGTATTCAGGGCCATCGGCTGAAACCTTCCCGTCCGATCCATCGATTTGGAAACTTTTCATCCAAAACGACCCGCACAGGTTCCCATATCTGATCCCCATGTACTTATTTTGAGGGACCTTTAAAGAACATTGTGT